GGAGGGGGAGGGGGAGGGGGGGCGACGGACATACCGAGAATGAAGGTGGTGAGGCATGCAGCGGCCGCCACCCCGGCCATTGCGAAGAAGAGCGCTCCCGAGAGGAATGACGGCTGGTACGCACGCACCAGCCGATACACCGCAAAGAGGAAATGCACAAAGGCCGTGAACATCCCTGCACACACACACACACACACACCCGCCACACCATCACGTGACACCACTCTCTCTCTCTCTCTCTCTGTGTGTGTGTGTGTGTGTGTTGGCTGACCAACAGTGAGATTGATGAGGTATCTGATTGCAAGTTTGATGAGCCACACGACGGTCGATTCGTCGGAAGAGGTGAAGGTCAGGAAGAGGGCGTCCATCATGGTCCATTGAAGGGCCGCACGGTTGCCTGCGCCAACACACACACACACACAACAACACACACACACACGCACTCGTCTGCCTTCGGCCTGCCCGTCAGTGGCTGCCCTCCCACCGACCCACCCGAGTCGACTGAGGACCAAAAGGTCCGTCTCGCATCGGCCACTCCCATTTTGCTCCACAGCCCCACTTTGGCCCTTCCCGCACTCAGGGCCGCATCCCTCTTACCCCGGGCGGCATTCAGCCCCGCCAGCGCCGTGTGGTACTCGGCCTTGAGGCGCTGGCAGGAGGGGTCGCATGACCAGAACCAGCCACGGGCGTTCTGCAGCACACACAGGAGGGTGGATGGGGAGGGGAGGTGGGAAGGCGGCTTGTTTCCTCTTTGTTTGGTTGGTTGTTTGTTTGGTTTACCCGGTACTCTGACTCGGCTGTTCTCAGGATGGCGTAGGCGTCCCGCATCTGTGTGTTTGTGTGAGGGAGAGATGGGCAGAGAGGTGTGTGTGTGTGTGTGTGTGTGTGTGTGCGAGTGCGTGGTTTGCCTACTGCAGTGTCCTCAATGATGGCCGCATTCTGCACAGACTGCTCATACTCCATCAGCTGCACCTCATTCACCCCTGACACGACACAAATCAATCACATGCATCAAACCAAGAGCAGCAGCAGCTCCTGTGTGTGTGTGTGTGTGTGTTTATGCCTCTGCGGGCTAAGGATCCTTACTGAAGCCCTTGAAGCACACCCCGACAAGCAGCCCGAGCAGCCACAGCGAGGTGAGCACGTAGTTCCTCTTGACCCATGCGACAGTGTGGCGTACGGCCAGCGTGCCGATCTCGTTCTCAAAGCGGCGGATCTCCTGAACGGCCTCACTCATCTGCACACAATTGATACCAGCAAGTCACGAAACGAGGGCGCATTGAATTCATTCAAACGAGATCTGCCGCACCTGTAACACTGTTGTTGCCTGGCTTGGAAGTTCGCTCCTCAGCGAGATGGCACACCGACTTGGCGGCCTAGGGTGCTTCCTGAAACCGCTGCCGCCCGAGATGCCAAGCTCGCAGATCTCGAGGGTCGCGAAAGGAGCCCAGGAGGTTGCCTGAGTGCTGATTTGCGTGTCTGCAGCTCCTGCAGCCGGTTTCCCCGGGGCGATCTGGCTCTCTGCGACCATCGGCAGTCGTTAGCGACTCAGCGAATGGAGGCCGCTCCAGCCCTTCCGTCACCTGATGGCTCCACCGGCAGCAGTGATGCGCCTGACGGGCCTGATGGCGACTTGCTGCCATCTGCAGGCGCGGCAGACGGCCACTCCTCACCGGACTCCTCATCGCCAGATACCACCCCCACCACAGCCAGCAGCGGCAGTCACAGCGGCAGCAAGACCTCACGATTCGGGTTTGGCGACGCTGTCAGCAGCAGCCCGGCGGAGCACAAGCCGGCAAGGCGGCGCTGGGTGCTGATGTTCCTTCTGCCAGCCGCAATGGCGGTCATCGCTTGGGTGGTGTTGCTGCCGCCATCGGGGCCGCCGAGATCGGTGCGGGCGGCCTACTCGGAGTCGCTGCTGCCGTGGCCCGTCTATCGCATCGGCATGCCATTGCTCGAATTCGCCGACCGTTTCGCTCGAGAGATGACGCCGCCTGAGATGCGGGTGCCCATGCTGGCTGGCGTCTGGATGGAGAGCGTCATCGTCTATGCTGTCGCGAAGCTGTCCATCTGCGACGTCATGTGGTCGATGAGGCAGCCATCGTCGGTAGATGAGGTCGCCCAGGGGCTGGTTGACCGCGGTGTGGTGACGAGCATCCAGACGGGCCACCTGCAGCGGCTCATGGACGCCGCTATAGAGGTGGGCCTCTTCGCCAAACAGGGAGACAAGTATGTCCTGACGCCGAGTGGCGAGATGCTGCGGGCGGACCACCCGAGGAGCTCCCGGGCGACGGTGCTCTTTCTGGCGGGGCCTGACGGGATGGCTCCCTGGCATGCTGTCGTCAATTCGGTGCAGACGGGCAATAGTGGGTGGATGGAGGTCTATGGGAAAGAGAAGTTCCAGCACATGCTGGAGGAGCCCGCACAGTGGCACACATTCGACAGGGCACAGGTACTCAAGACAGGGACAGACAGAGGGAGGGAGGGAGGAAGGGGTGACAGCGACCTCCACGTGTGTGTGTGTGTTGGTTGGTCTTTTGTTTGTCAGGCAGCGATGTCCAAGCTGTTGCAGCACAGCTTGTTGGCCGAGTACGCCTTCACCGGCCGCATCAACAGGACGGGAAGCGACGCGGACTTCGTCTTCTGCGATATAGGAGGGGGCGAAGGTGCGCTCCGATGCGCCTTTCATACGTGTGTGTGTGGGGGGGGCCAATACGTGTGTGTGTTTCTGTTGCTCGTGGGTGTGTGTGTGTTTGTGTGCAGGTGTGATTATGGCAGAGGTGCTGTCTCATTATCCCAATGCCAGAGGTCTTCTGCTCGACCAAGTGAGCACACGCGCCGACATCTCTTACTCCCTCCCTCTGTGTCTGTGTGTCTGTGTCAGTCTGCCCCCGTGGTGGCAGCGAACAATCGGTTCGCTGCCAAGAGCTTGGCCGACCGCGCAATGGCCATCGAAGGCAGCTTCTTCGATCCACTGCCACAAGAGTTCCAGGTGACTCACACAGACATGAGCGAGAGACTGACCACTCATCCACTCATTGTGTGCAGGCATGTGACTATTTCCACCTGCGGTGGATTCTCCACGATTGGAGCGACCATGACAGCCATCGCATCTTGTCCCGGGTCGCCGAGGCGGCCGAAAGAGGGGCGGCGGTGCTGCTGAGCGAGGCCGTCCTCGGCACCCAGCCGCACATATTCGAGCGGCACAAACGGCTGATGGACCTTACTATGATGGCCTGGCACCAACCGGGGGCAAAGGAGAGGACGGTGAGTGCTGTGCGCCACGCCATAGACACACATGGCCATGGCCAGCAGGGGTATCCCTCCCTCCCTCTCTCTGTGTGAGTGTCTGCACAGCTGAGTGAGTTCGACAGTCTTCTCTCGAGCCTGGGGTACAAGCGCGCTGCGTACGTGGAGAGCCAGGGGCCCATGGCCGTGATGGAGTACAGGCGGCCACACACACACGGGCGGCCAGAGCACCACGGCGCATCATGAGCTACGCTGACATATGGGCCATAGGTAATTCGGTGTGGTGTGATGATCAGGGGGACGGATGGATGGATGGATGGCGAGGGGGAGGGAGGGAGGGAGGGAAGTGTACATTCAAAGTAGGGAAGACCTCACAGGCAGCATATGACCGAGCTCGCTGGGCGGGGTGGGGGGCGAGCGCGGGGGGCGGATGGGAGGGATTCTTTTGTCTTCTGCTGTTTGTTTTCCTCTCTTTCTGTTTTGCCCTTTTTGTTTTGCTTCGCTTTGGATTTCTTTGCTTTGCTTTGCTTTGCTTTTCGCTTTGGGTATACAAACGGTATACAGACGTCGTCGCGTGTACGGGTGCTATCGTGTGTGTGTGTGTGTGTGTGTAGGGGTGAGAAGGAGATCGACGCAGCTGCTGATCCCTCCATCCCTCGCGTACCGTATGTGTGTAGGTGTGTCTATTATTTGTATTGTAGTTCTTCCTTCTTCTTCTTCTGTGTGGGCGCCTTTTGGTTTCTCTTTTCGTCTTTTCTTTTGACAAGGGTAGGCAGGCTGGTCGAGTGTCTGCGCAGGTGGGCTTGCTACACTCCCTCGCCCCCCCCCTCTCCCCCCCAATTACACCTTTTTGTGCCTCGATGGATTGCATTCGTGGGCCTCCCTCTCTCACCTCACATAACATCACACGTGTGCATCAGCATCGCTCAATCGCTCAACCAAGATTGCTTGCACGTTTCTTTGTCACGATTGTTTTGAGACGGGAGGGGACGGGACGGGAGGGGGCGCAACTCAGTTGAGGTGAGGCCGCACGGCCTGGGCTGCCTGAATGAGATATGCTACACTGCGTCTGTGTATGGCGTCTCGCTTTTTGTCTGCCTGTCTGCCTGTCTGTCTGTCTGCCTCGATGGTGAGTGGCCGCACAGGGGAGGGAAAGAAAAGGCGTCAACTGGCTGACTTCATCTGCCTGTGGCTTGGCCTGCCTGGGTCGACTGATTGCATGCAGGTGTGGTGTGTGGGGTGCACGTCTGTCTGTCTGTCTGTCTTCATGTCTGTCTGTATATTCGTGTGGATGGATGGATGGATGGATGGCCGGATGGCTCCGTAATGTCGTTTATTATACTACCCGTATACATATACACATTGACACATTGACAGGGTAGGAGATTGGGGCAGTGGGCCGGGGCGGTGGGGCGGGCGGGGCGGGGCGTGAATGGCCTGCACTGTACAGTACTTCCTGTAGTGAATGAGTGGACGGCTGGGTGGATGGATGGTCGGTCGGTCGATGGGCCTGATGGGTGGGCAAGGTGGCTTTTCGCATTCCACAGTGGTGCACCACTGCAGACGTCGAAACACACACACACACACACACAGAGGATGGATGAGATCTGATTGATTCATCTGCATGGAAGACGACGGACGACGGACGAGGCGATTTTGAGGCTGGCTGGCCGGCCGCTGAGCTGACCGCTGCTGATATGATTTTTAGGTGGTCGTGCTTTTCTAACGTCAGTTTGCACGCACTCGACTGCTGCATACATACACACCACTAAACTCACTGGAACACTCACCTGTTGTCACGATCCCTTGACGACCTGCCTGACTGACTTACCGACTGACCACAGTGTGCTTGCTACCCAAATCCTTACACAGACGATCCGATCTGATATATATATGTCTGTCTGTCTGCATCCGTGGACTCTCGCACTCAATCACCAATTCGACCACGTGCACGTCGCAAAGTCGGCTTGAAAGCCAACAGCGTCAATCGCTGCGCCCGAGACGCCGAAAACAGGTCGAGCCTTATCGGGCAGCCCACTGAATATGCGCATCTACGGAGTTGATGAGGTCAGGTCCGACCGTGCCTGAAAATGGCCAAACGCCTATACATTCCAATGCGCATGCCACCTGGTTGATGTCAGGTATACCGGTAGGTCAGCCGGAGTGACTTGCTGCCCGCATTGGCCCACTTGGCGATGCACATCTCCCGCAGCCTCGTGACCGTACTGCCCTCAACCGGCGACTGCAAACCACACTCGTACGTGGGAAACAGGTGTGTGTGAGTGTGGGGATCCAACTGACCGTAAGGTAGCCGTGCAGACGACTGCGCATGTTGGCCAGAGTGTCCATCTCTTGTGAGAGGCCGCACATCAGCATCACCTGCGCCACCTCCGGCGGTCTCAGTGAGTCGGCGGCGGTGGCGCACTTGTGCAGAAGAGCCAACTGTTGAAGCTCTGCACACCACACACCAAGACAAAGAGCAACTTTACACTACTGTGGGTGCTCTGCTTCCCTGCTGGTAGCATTTCGGCACCTCATCGTCACCCTTCAGAATTGACATGCACAACGCGGGAAGGACACACCAAAGAGATGCGACCGATTTTCCCTTTCGTTCTCACTCGCATCTCTTTGGACACGTAATGGCGTCGAGTTCGTCGTCCTCTGCGTGTGGAGTAGGTCTCTCATGGTCTCTCATTACATGACGTCACGGCAGCTGCCGTTTGGCGTCTCACATCTAGCTGAGCAGACATGTACACACATTAGATCTGAGGATGTCACGGCATCTACAGACGGACAACACACGTCTGCTGGCCCCTCCCGCCTACTCGGCGACTGCGTGACTCACTCACCACATCTGTGCGTTTGAGGCGTTCGGTGCTCGAGTAGGCGTTGGCATATCTCCCACGACAGATGCCCCTCGTAAAACACGAGAGCTGCCATCATCCTGCGACTTTCTGCGGCGAGAGGTCTCTGTCTCTTGAAGAAATAATAATATCCGCTGATATTGTTTCTGTCTATTCTGTCTATTCTTTCCGACCGAAACTACAGCCCTTCAGAAGGCAACAGAATTTTCGACTTCGTTTTTGGGTTCTCGCTTTGGTTTGCCTTTCCTTCGGCCGTCTTTGTCCTTTTCCAGCGTTTCTTTTGGGTTTTCTTGGGTTTTCCCTCGCTGCCTCCCTCCCTCACACCAGTGCTGCCGCCGACAGTCACGATGCGCGTGTGTCCCCTCGTCGCCGTCACGCTGCTGCTCGCCGCCTCAGGTGCGTCGCTCACACCACGACGAAGGCAGGGCACCACCGCACGGGCCATCACTCTCTGTCTGCCTCTGTGTGTCTGCTGTGCCGTTCTCCGCCTGTGTGCTGTGTCTCCCCCGTCTCTGTGTGTCAGTGTCTGTGGCGGTGTGTGAGGCCCAGCAGCAGCAGCAGCAGCCGTCGCCCTCCCTCGTGCGGTCTCTGGCTGAGGACGACGCTGTGAGCGTCAAGGGCAAGAAGCCGGCAGCTGAGGACAAGGAGGACAAGGATGTGCCTGAGTGGAATGGGAACGACAAGTGGGGAATCCACGAGGACCTGAACCATGACATCCAGGACTACAACCACATGCTGGAGCACGCTTACAAGTTCCAGAACGTGATGTACTACTACAAGCGCAATGACGTCGGGTGAGCACCGCCCTCACGCACGCGCCTCAACACAGTGCACCATTGGTCGTGTGTGCTGTCTGTCTGTCTGGTTGTTAGGCTGAAAGGATTCGCTTATCTCGCTGGCTCCAAGTTTTCCGGGCTTGTGAAGAAGGTCGATAAGATCATCAAGTACTTGCAGAGGTACGTGGTGTCTGTGTGTCTGCCACCATCTTGGCCGTCTCCCTCTCTCCCTGCCTGTGTGTGGTGGCAGCCGTGGTCATTACTATGAGCCTCAAGACATCAAGAAGCTCTACTACAATGACGATTCTTACAAGGTCCCCAAACGTACTCGGATGGCTGTGTGCTTCAAGTGACCTCTCTCTCTCTCTCTCTCTCTCTCTCTCAGCCCATCGAAAATCTCAAGCACATAAGACACTCATACGTTGAGCTCTACGAGGCGACAAAGAAGGTGAGAGAGAGAGAGAGAGGGGCAGACGCACTGACACACTTGGTGGTGGGATGGATGTGGTGTTGATGTTTG